TAGCATTTGGCAGAGAAATTGGTTTTTCTGGAAATGACAGAGTCTTCAATAGGCTATATGCATCTAGCCCAATAGCAGTGATGAAATGTGCTGGTATTTTGTCATCCCGAACATTCTTTGAAATGCACCACGCATCGAAGCATTCAAGATAATCAGCAATCTCCCGCGGAGACCCATTAATGGGGAATTTTCCCAGGTTATTTAGCTTCATCGCGACGCCAATTTGTAGTAATTTATTGTACTTCGAATATTAGTATTTCGAGATGACCGAATTACAAGAATCCAACCAAAACACAGAGAGGGCGGAATTCAGGAATTTGTATTTAGCGGAATTATTATGCCATTCATATAAGGAACATATCAACAGTCAACAGTAAGTATTTTAAACAATACAGAGATAGAAATTGTCAATCACCACAGTATATTTGTGGAGCCTGATGATGAAGTTATCGAGAAGAATATTTTTTGTTCTGTAACTATTCTTTTGAAACTTGTAATTGTCTCTTGTTATTTACACATATATACGATTGCACATCAGTACGAATGAAATTGTCACCAGGAAAATATTGTGATCTATTCATGATCCAGATCTCAATTTCACCTTCAGTCACTGCAATTAAATCAAAAACAGCCAGCCAACCGAAGAGTATCACAAAAAATCTCTTCATAAATCATAAATCGTTAAATTCTGTTTATTTAGAAGAGTAAATATTCCTCGTTAAATTTTCTACTGGATATGCCACATATAAAGTAAAAGCTTCGGTGGCACAGTGGTTAGGACTCTCGCCGACCATGCATATGGTCCGAGGTTCGATCCCCTGCCGACACGCACTTGATATCTATGGTCAGCCTGCAAAATTTAGGCTACCGATATCCATGCTGAAAATTCCATACTTGTACCAAAAATACGGTGTGGAATCAAGCTGTAATCAAAAACAAAAAATAAATAAAAATTATTTACTGGATGACGAGGTTTCAAACACAATTTATTATTCTTCATAATCATATCACGAATTTTAACTATATAACTTCGAAACTTGAGTTTTATTGTTATCTTTATTCTCTCTCATTTGTAGTAGAGTTTGTTGGTTTGGAAAGTTATGAAGAGGAATTGCAAGTGTTAGATTGTCTCACAAAAAAGAAAGAAAGTTGGAAGCTGAACACTAATATTTACAGAAAAACCATATATTCAAACGGATGTTTGGACTTCAGTTCATGCTACCATAAGTCTTTAAAAATAGGATTGGTGAATTGCTTAATAATAGAGTGAAACTTTAGATGGTACCAAAAAAATCTAAAGCAGGGAGTAAGAAATATAAGTGGAGCCTTGAACCTTATTTATTACCCTGATAAATTAATTAGGAAGTATGCAGGAAATGTAAAATAATAATAAGGACGACTTACACGGCAAAAGGACATCAGAAGCTGATAACGCCAACAATATGGAATTTGAAGGAACAGCGGTGGATCCATATAATGAAAAAAATTGGTCAAACCTTAGCTAGAATTTTTAACTAAGCAGGAATAAAAGTGGCACTGAAACCCATGAATTCACTTATAATCAACTTTTTTTTTGGTTAAAGGATCAGTCTTGTGGAGAATATTAAATTAAATAATTTAGTTTGTCTAATACCCTGTGTCAGTGTCCAAGTCTTACTACACTGGACCTCACGCTGTCCTTGGAAGACTTTCAGAAACTATGCGTAATAACTAACACGAATAACCAGAACGCAAATTGGTGACTCAAGAACTGTTTATTCTTGTACCAATACAGAGCCAACCATTAGGTTATTGTACACAAAGTCTAAGAATAAATGTTATAACAATAAATCACAATAATACTTCTGATAGTTTTCTCTCCTCAAACGAACAGCGAATGACGTAGACGATGACCACAGTATTGGTGACTCTCGCAATGATATGGAGTTGGGTTTGAGCAAACAACCATGAATTGATCATTCAATCTTCAACTACACTGACACTCTGCAGGGACTGTCAGATCAAGCACAAAAGAGTTAGTCAGACTAGTACAGCACAGACAACTGGCAAAATCTAGATTAGTTGACCTTAATCAGACAAGAAATCCAGCACTACACGAAACTATACACAATCATACAAATAGGCTGGGATAAGATAACAGCGTGGAGGGAAAGACTCATAATGCAACCTTGATTTATCGAATCACCTGTAGATACATGGAGTAAAAATCATCCCACACCTGTCCTGAACATCTGAAAAATTCTATTACTCCTACAACCTACGGGAAGTAGTAAAGACAACAATAAAACCCAAGTTTCGAAGTTTTGTAGTTATAATCGATGATATGATTATGAACAAGAGTAAACTGTGTTTGAAACCTTGTCATCCAATAAGTAATAGGGTTTTACCTTATATGCGAGATATCTAATAGACAAATTAATATGCAATTACATACTACCATGGTACACGTATATATATGTATATATGCATATTTATAATAAAATTTAAATGAAACTCTGATTCCGTGGTAGATGTCATAACAACAAACATTTAGTAGTTAATGAATCACTCCTAGAACTAGTATCTTTGACTAGGGGTTTCATCGAAATGTAAGTTTCATCGGCCGTATGTATTCAAGACCTAGCCAGGGATGTATCACTTTTAATATGAGAGTATTTAAACTATTTGATACTTTGGTCTTTTTAATAATAATTAAATGTACAAAATTGTATTCTTCAAACAGTTTGTGTCATTTTATATTGCTTATTATTTACTAGACATAAATAAATTATAACTTTGACTTTGATGAAATGGATTTACCACATGACTAGTGATGATATTGTCAAGTAATAATTTGGATTTATGATATGAAGTTAATGAAAAATAGTTTCAGCGAAAAATGAGTGAGACAGGGGTGGAGGTGGAAGACTCTATGATGTTGTGTATTTTCTTGGAAATAGGTTACTATATGTAATTCACATAATTTGGTCTCGGTATACATGGCTACAACTTTATCTTTGTATTAGTAGATAATTCAAGACTGATATTCAAGTGTTGGTTTGTAGGGATTTTGTTTGATTGGTTGGAAGATTTCATCATGAGCTGACATCAGTTACAGAACCACTTGATGAAAACATGAGAGCACTGACCAGCTGTTTCGTCCTAGTTTAAAACTCTTCATCAGTATGCACCCACTGAGATTCGAATCCAGGGCCTTGTGGTTACAAGGCGAGCTCAGAGACCATTAAGCCATGGGCCATTGGATCGACCCCAAGGCCCTGGGTTCGAATCTCAGTGGGTGCGTACTGATGAATAGTCTTAAACTAGGACGAAACAGCTGGTCAGTGCTCTCATGTTTCCATCAAGTGGTTCTGTAACTGATGTCAGCTCATGATGAAATCCTCCAATCAATCAGGCAAAATGCTTACAAAACCAATGTCTGAAAACTTTCCACATTTATTGGTACTTCATTACTCTTCATGTTAATATTGTTTCTCTTATATATTTTCGTCTATTGTAATTTCACTTCATATCATTTCTCTACCTTTATGACTGGATTTAAGAAGTGTGCCAACCTTCAATTGGTGCAATTCTCTGTAAAGTGTTACACTAATACTTCAATTTACTTCATGTATAAATATAGTCAAAAGATAGTTAAAATGTTCTGCCCAACACTGGATTCGTCTAGTTTGAGTTCTGTTACAACTTCTGATTTTTAATTTCTCTTGATGAATGCATTAAAAATCAATACATTATTTAAATAATTAAATAAATAAGGAATTATTATTACTTGAATTACATCGACTATCACCATTAACTCAAAAGTGAAATGAACTAATTTGTTTTGACCTTGACTGTTATAGTCTATGTAACAGGTCAATATGTGTGATTGGAAATAAATATTATACATTAATATTTTCAAATTTAATCGAATTTTAAAATTAATTGTGCAATTTATCGATAATAAGTAACAAACCCTTGAACGATACATCTGCTTAGGTGTCTGAAATAACCAACTAACAGGTTTAATTTGTGAGAAGAATGAAATTTTACATCTAAAAACAACAGAAATAAAATAAAAACATATGACAATAAGCAGAAAAAACACGTGCAGATATAAAATAAAGTTTAGTTCAAGATTTGAAGACAAATTTTCTCTGAAAGGTAAATGCACACCCAGTTCTTTAACCCTTCAGCATATCCCGTGAAAGATTCAAACACGAATGGAATGGAGAACTGTCAAGTTACGAGTCAAGCACTTTTCCACTGTTTGTCATAACGAATAAACTTATCTAATGTGGAATTGTATTTATCACAGTGGATCTCCTTACAGTTATGGAAACAAGAAATAAAAACTTGTAGGTAGTGTTGAGGACAACTAAACATGACTTCAGAGAATAGCATACAAGTTAATTCAGTTCGAACTTTCCTGTTGATTGGTTGAACCGAAGTGCTCGACCTTAGGTTGGCATGTCGGTTTCTTGCTCAGATGCTTCGACTATGTATGATTATTTAAAGTGAAGGAAATTGGTGGACGGTGACTAACAATGGAACCCAGGATGCTGATCTCCCCACGTTTGCGACTCGTGATCTGGATGTACGTGGATGTACCAAATTTTATCAAGCAATTACTAATACATGTTGCACTAGGGGTGACACTCGTGTCGATAACGCTTTTAGCGTCTGAGACTATGAGTACTGGGTCCGAGTCTCAGTTGAAACACCATCGTCAAATGGGGAATGCAGGTAAGTTCGGCTGGCAAGTCCCAAATAAGACGAAGTGAACATCATATGTTTCACCGACAGTCACCAACCAATAATTTACTTTAAATAGAATACAATGTTTTTGCGCTTCTGCAGACCTTTCTTCCGATAACAACTCAAAGGACAACTAGTAAATATTAATAACGATGATAAATACGAGTAGACACTTGAGTTGGTGGTGAATGTCATAAAATGATTATCATATAGGATTGACTTCTGTTAACTTATATCATCTCTTTTATTTTATTTCTGTCTAGCAAAAAAAGTGTCCACTGTCAAAAAAACAGCAAATATCGATCGGAGTTGCGGCTATCGGTTTATTTTTGGTCGGACTTCTTATTGGGAAAATGATTAAATAATATGTTTTCTCTGTTTTATAAATATTCCTACAAAATAATACCTCTTGTTTATCGTCTATACCGCTAAATTCAACCTTATTTAAATATACTGCTGAATTTCGAAAAATGACATTTGTTTAGTTGTAATTTACCATTGCATAAATGGTCCTCCATTACATCTTCTCATTTTTTAGTCTTACATTCAGTTAAGCAAGAATATAATGAATAAATATTTCATTGTGCATTAATTTTTGATAATTTTATATCGAACACTTGGTATTTGTTTCATTCAGTTGATTCGTAGTAATATCTTTGATTTATAGACACTTTTTGGCTATTTTGAAGGAGTTCTATCAATGTTTTGCACAGCTTTAATATCTGTTGTGCTGTTTGGCAGTGAAATACTAAGAAGGGCTTATCGGTAAAACTAAGCACCCATAGTCTCGTTGTCTTACAATATCAGGTGCTAACCTTCGTTGTTTAAATTGATTGGTTTGACTGAAGGTACGAAATCAAACTGTATCGTGTTTCATTTCGTCACTTGTGCATAATATTTAGTTAGCTTGTAGGGGATCAAAGAAATTAATTAATTCGATTGGATCTCAGCTACCGTGCTTTCAACAGTCACTTAATTTACTCATGCTCACTGGATCATATTCAGGGAACAATAGATTGGTGGTTGCGTTGTGATGTGATTGTATATCCCCACACTCTCTACATAATTTTCTTAATAAATACACCCTTGAGCAGCCGCAAGTGTTATCTGTTATCCCTTCACAAGTTAGGGTGGTTTATGGAACAGCCTGGTCACGAGGTTAGATGGGCCAAAATAAATAGTAAGCAGGTAGTGTTGGGTGAAGCTCAGGTCTATCAGGTAGAGCGTTATTGAAACCAACGGAAAGCGAATTCGAAGCTGTTCAAGTAGCATGACTAACTGGTGTCACAAAAGCCATGCTGTTAAATCGTCAATATTTGTGTAAACTTTACCTATGAGGATTATTTCCACTTTCCATTTTGTGTGCGGCTGTGGTAAGTATCTCATAAGTAGAATTGGATGTACTGTTGTTCTAGTTTACGGAGAGGCAATGTCGAATATTTGTTAGTGTTGAAATCCAGTCTATTTTCCTTGGTCCATTTCTCCATGCCTGTTAGTTCTTCCCTCACCGCAGTTAGAACTTCTGTGTATTTCACTACCCTGCCCTCCTTTGTATCCTCCACCCAAAGAAAAGTTGGACAGCTTAAGTTATTCGGAGCATCTTCTATAAGGATCAGAATAACAGTGGACCTAGAATGACACCTTGTGATATTCCGGTGGTTTCCTTTCTGTGTATGAGGCGGTAGCGGTAGGTAATTCCCCAAAATTAATGACCACAGCATTCATCACTGAATACTGAATGCTGACCCTCACTGTTTTAGCCAATTTGCTTAGCTGAAGGCTTCCGGCCAAGTATCTACGCCATTTGGCACGCTGTCATGTTACATTCGTTCGTTCGTGCACGATCACTAACTAGTTGAGTATTCATCTTGGACTCCGATTTGGTCCCGAAATATAGCTCGTAATTTGGACGGTAAATTCTGGTGGTTTTGCTTTACCTTTGGTCTACGCGGGACGAGCGCTATAGAAGTTGTGGGTGTAAGAACTTGTGTTATTATACTGCGCACTATCGGTGAATGCCAATACCTTTAGCCTCCAAAAGGCTTACTATGTTGATTTTCGTGACAGGTCCTCGTTTTATATGAAGCTCACTATCCAAGCTAACAACTGATCACCAGCTGTTATTCTTGGGATTTGTATGTGTATAACTTCTGCAGACGAAGGATCGGGGGACTTCTCAAAATATGAAAGTAGGGCATGGACTTGAATATTCTGGTCCTAGAAAGCTCTCCATTTATGTCAATTGGCCAGTGAATGGGACCAACTATTCCTTATCCTGTATTGAGTTCCGTGTAAGATGATATCCTGGCCCGGAGGATCCCTAATTTCACTCGCTAGCAGGCTTTCCATCACCTCTGATACTGTCGGCACCGGATACGCAGGTCAGTAAAACTTTGAGTTTTGTCAGACCCCCTCTAAAAATAGGTGACATGATCACCCACTACCGACCCCTTGACCACCATACAAAATCATCTTGTTTGGTGAAACACATAGATATGCTACATGTCACTAAATAATCACTGGATTGCTCTCGTTACATCCTGGAGACGTTCCCGGACGAAGTCTTCCCATTTTCCCAGAACCATGCTTGGGTTCACACTTGGAGAGTAGCCACATCCACGGTGTCAGATGGAATAATATGTTGTCAAGGCGTACATATCTAGTTGGCACTCTGGTTGTGATGACACGAATGTAAGTTTGGTCATCTTACTTTTGAGACCTATAAATCGATTTATGGGCATTTTTCGGTCTCCCTTACCTAGTAGTCTATTTTCAGTGATCACGAAGGGGAATATCTGTGGAGTCCTCAAAAATAAACTTATCCAAATTTTACTACTATGTAAATAACGAACATATTGTACACTACTTTGTTTTAACCATAAACTCTGTACTTTGGACTTTACCTCGGGTTTTGAATAAATATATAGTTCTGCCTTCGACTCTCCGTCTTCTCCACCATCTCAACTGCCGTCGATCAATTTTAATCACCTGCTTTCTATCTCAAATTTTTGCAGGAGCACCGTAGTTCTTCCTACGTACTTTGGTCGACCTCCGGCAACGTCAACATTGGAGAATTAGTACTGGAGCAGTCTTCCCGCAGCACCTGGAGTCTATAACGTTTATTGTGGACTTTGGATCTTTGTAAACCCAAGTAACCAAACTTTAATACATTCTTCCCGTAACTAAACTGATTTGGTACTTTATTTTCTATTTGAATTTGGGTAACTAAGCTAACAGAGTAAAAGGTCCACCACAATAATTGGTGAGCCCGTTTTGAACCTTTTTTTATGGTTAACCCGTTTTCGAACCTTTTTGTTTCGATAGTTAACTCGTTTTGAACATTTTTGTTGCCATTTTGGCCTTTTAAACTCGCATTGCTTTAATTTTTGTTACCACAAGTTTTGCTATTTTGTATATCTCTATACTTAAATATTTTTTGACAATGGCTCCATATAAACGTGTCACTATTCCCGAAGAACTTCATAAAGGCGAAGTGATACAGAACTCTTCTGTTACCGCCTTGCCGGATTCCACATCTATGAAGGACGCACCAATGTTTTGGTTACTTTCCCAGTTAACATCTCAAATGCAAGACTTACGACTGGAAGTGTCTGAGCTTCGAGCACAAAGGAACCAGTCACATACGGTATCCAAGCAACGGCGATCAAGATCTAGACGACGTTCTAGAACACCGTCCCAAAGCCGTAACATTTGTTGGTATCATAGGAGGTATGGGCATAATGCCCTGAAGTGTCTTCGACCGTGTATGTACAACAGTAGTAACTCATCTCAGGGAAACTCCCCAGCCAGACAGTAATGGCGACGGCTGTTAATGGCAATCACCCCAGTCGCCTTTTCTATGTGAGGGATTTGACTACCGGCACATTATTCCTGGTAGATACAGGCGCCGAGGTCAGTGTTATTCCCCCCTCACTATCCAGGCGATCAGCCAAAATACCTGGAAAACTTTCACTCCGTGCTGCCAACCAAACCAACATACAGACGTATGGCGAACAGTCAATGATTTTAAACTTAGGACTACGCCGACGTTTCACATGGATCTTCATAGTAGCTGACGTACGTCACGCTATACTAGGTGCAGACTTCCTAAGTCACTTCAATCTGTTGGTTGATATCAGCAAGAAAAAACTGGTTGACAATTGCACCCAACTCAAGATCCACGGTATTACATGTGACTACTCTGTTCATAGCATCTGTATAGAAAAGCCGGAGAGTGAAATGTTCTCTGCTTTATTGCAACGATTTCCTAAAATCCTTAAACCATCATACAACGTCGAAGATATATCTCATACAGTTACGCATAAGATCATCACAACAGGACAACCTGTGAAGGCACGTCCACGACGGTTACCACCCGATAAACTAGCAGCAGCTAAGTCGGAATTCGAACATATGATGCAGCTAGGTATCATACGACCATCTAACAGCCCATGGTCTTCACCTTTGCACATGGTACCTAAAACTAATCATGACTGGCGACCATGTGGAGATTATCGCGCTTTGAATAACGCTACGGTCCCAGATCGTTATCCTATACCTCATCTCCACGACTTCTCCTTGACCTTACATGGAAAGACCATTTTTACTAAAGTTGACTTGGTCAGGGCATATCATCAAATACCAGTCGCTCCAGAAGACATTGCAAAAACAGCAATTATCACGCCTTTTGGATTATTCGAATTCTTGAGAATGCCTTTCGGACTAAAGAATGCTGCTCAAACATTTCAGCGTTTTATGGACCAAGTTACCCAAGGTCTTGATTTCGTCTTTGTATATATCGACGATGTCTTAATTGCCAGCTCATCGATGGAAGAACATATGCAACACTTAAGCCTGTTATTTCAAAGGTTTGAACAATTTGGAGTTGTTATCAATCCAAAGAAATGTATTTTTGGTTCCCCTTCCATTGAATTCTTAGGACATCGAATAACTGCCGAAGGCATCAGACCTACCGAAGATAAGATAGAAACTATTAAGAACTTTCCCGAACCTGATTCCTTAAAGAAACTTAGACGTTTTCTCGGGATGTTCAACTTCTACCGACGTTTTATTCCATCATGTGCCTCCATAGTTCAGCCACTGACCGACCTACTTAGATGCAATTCGAAGAAATTTCAGTGGTCTGAAGAAGCAAAAGCAGCATTTAATAATGCAAAAGATGCCTTATCCAACGTTGTAATGTTATCTCATATCAACCCAGAAGCTTCACTCATTTTATGTACAGATGCATCGCAGGTAGCAGTGGGAGCAGTTTTACAACAAAAGTTCAATAATGACATCACTCCACTTGCTTTCTTCTCCAAAAAGTTGGAACCTGCGCAAACTCGTTACAGCACTTTTGGCA